GGTTGCGCTATTAGTTGGAAAGCTACATTACAACATGTAGTAGCTTTATCTACTACCGAAGCAGAATAGATGGCAGTGACCGGGGCGATCAAAGAAGCTTTATGGTTGAAGGGTCTATTTGCGGAACTCAGTTTACACCAAGGTGGTATTACCATTTTCTGTGATAGTCAAAGTGTCATTCACTTGACTAAAGATCAAATGTATCATGAGAGGACGAAGCACATTGATATAAAGTATCATTTCATCCGAGAAACCATTGCTGAAAGAAAAGTCTCTATTCAGAAGATCAACACTAGAGACAATCCTGCTAACATGTTCACAAAACTTCTTCCAGTATCCAATTCAAGCTTTGCCTGAACTTGATTGGCATTTATGAAGAATGATTTTGCCCATTGGGGTTTTTGCGGAGAAGGTGTAGCAAATTTACTATATATAAGCCGAAATTAGGCCAAGGTGGAGATTTGTAATATGGCCAAATTTTCATGACATTTTCCATGACATAATATCCATTATTAGGCCAACGATTTCTTGCTATAAATAGAGGAGTTTCTCATTTGAAAACACACCAATTCAAGAGCTTTTTACTCTTGTCTTTCTTCCTCCTCCTTTATTTAATTATAGAGTATTTTGTAAGAGAGTGAGTGTTGGGAAACACTTGTGTGAACCCTTTCTTTGGAGTGATCTTGTGAGGTTATTGTGAGGTTATTCTCTTGGGGTATTTGGGATTAATTAGAGTATTTACTCTAATTTTGTACTCTTGTTGGTATAGTGAAATTGCTCCTCTCCGCTTGTGGACGTAGGTCACCTTGACCGAATCACGTTAAATTTGTGTCTTCTTTATATTTTTTAATTGCCGTTATTATCAACTTCCATTGTCTTTGTTATTGTCATTATACCGTTGTTTGGCTAAATTCCGCACTACCCGGGTTCCCAAATCTAAAAGACACCATCCTGAACCATATACACTTCGCGATACAATGATCAAATGAACAAAAGGATCACTCACAAAAACCAAGCAAACATAGTTTATACTCTCTGTTTCAACTTATATAAACTTATTACTATTTGCAAAGTCAATGTTTTCTTTGACCATAATTTTTAGCAAATAATTATTTAATATTTTAAATTTTTAACTGTTGCGACTTATAGTACTTTTCATGTAATTTCTAAAGTGCAAATTTATTTCAAATATTTTTAAAATTCCAAGTCAAAATTCAGATAAAAAATTGGTAAGTTTGACCCTAGTTCTCCGGAAAAATTCAGAGGGAGTATATATATACAAATATTACACACAGCATGGGTGTTAGTGTGTGTGGAGAAAGAGAAAGGAGCATACCTAAGAAAGTTGGCAAGAGAATCGGAGTGGAGTGAGAAACCTCGTTCCTGTTCTGAGGAGAGTAGAAAAGAGCATTTGAGAAGAGAGTAGCGATATGGAAAACAGAAACAAATGAAGAGTTTTTGAGAAGGTGCTCGATCGGTGGAAGAGTTTTCTTTATTGACCGATCTGACCCTAAATTTTCCGCGAAAACTTGTCTAACTACCATTGGCGCGTTAAATCGAGCGGTTAGACTTGAATTCAAATGTGTTTGACCAAAAAGCTTAAACATTTGATTAAACTAATTAATTTTATGTAACGAGGGGTTAAACTTAGCTAGTGATAATAATCTCAGATCTATAATCGGTTAACGAGATTAAATGCGGTGTACATTCAATGTTTCAGGATGATTAATGATAGGAGAATGTTGAGCAATAAATCACAATAAATAACATTAAAGTAAATAAGGAGAATGATTCACCCCATATTAAATGAGGTGGATGATTCTTCCTTCTGACAATGATGAGTGATAGATAAATACTAGAATATTGGAACTATTCTCGAATCTGATGAAAAAGTGTGGAATAATAGACAATCGAATCTCTTTAGAAAGGTAGTGTTTGTATTTTATCTAGGGAGCAAGTCTTCTTTTCAAAGAGTGTTCTTATCAGAAAATCTTGCCCTCCTTTCACCTTATCCCCCTCTCTATTTATCTGGAACATATCTCCGGTTAACCCTAAAAGTACAAGTACATTCAATGGGATATTCTCCTAAAGATCCTATTACAAAACTAGTTGTTATTATTACCCCTAATACTTGACCTCAGCCGTTATTGATTGCTCGGCTTTGAACCCTGCCGTTTACTAATCGACCTCGGCCAATTTACTTTTCGTAATATCACTTCATGTCGAACCTCCTTGAGGTAGATTTTGGCCTATACAAAATGTTCACCCCATCGGTTATACTTGTCTTGGATTAAAAAACGAAGAATATAAACTATATTTATTGGCAGTATAATTAAATTTTACATGTTACCTTTCGGGATAGCCGAGCTGACTGAGCAGAGCACTTCTCAAATGGGAGGTCTAGATCTAGGGTTTAAAATCCACTTGCATACTTCCTCTGCCGAGCCCATCGCACGGGCTTGCCTAGTGCGGTCTACCCTCTTGTATGATTTGCGGGTTATTACACGGGAGTGGAACTTATTTTGTATACCCGAGAGGTAGCGTCTGCGGATTCCCTTGTCAAAAATAAAAATAAAAATTTACATGTTATGTAGTTTGACCGACTCTCCTTATAATATAGGTTACTCACCCTTCTTCTAAGTAACTCATCATTAAGTTTACATTTGTAATTAATTAACTTTTAAATAATATTGTAATTGTACAAAAATTAACTCATCCAGCTTTTTCATTATGTTGGACCAACCATCAATCATGTTGGTACTGTTGCAGGCACTAAAGTGGCCTATAGCAGTTTGTCTACTGAGTGTCTTCTACTCTGTTATGAAGATGAATTAAGCGATGTTAATGATTCACATGAGAGAGTATAATCTGCTCAAATAAACTCAATGATATCCAACACCCACAAAAACTACGTTCAATAATTATTAACTGAGAGAGCTGTGGATAAACTTGTGAGATGCATTCATCCGTAAGATTATCTTAGAAACACAGAAATTATATATTAATGCCCTTTTGAACGCACATCCTCATTTATATATACGACTACCATATGGTAGACTATGACTGCAATAATAGCAAGGAATAGAAGTCGTTTTTTGAGGCCAATTTCACAAGGAATAAAGCTATACTGTTTCAACAAGGAATGATCTTGTGTCTAGAATATTACACATCTTACAAAAATGTAACTCATTTCTAATTCATATGTTACCAAAAAAGTATGGCTTTCTGAAATGGAGATGTGTAAGATGGCAGCAATTAGAATTATTACCAACAAAGATGATAAACTATTATGTCAAATAAACGTTAGCAACACTGAAAATAATTTAGCAATTAAATAATTAGGAGATATATCTTTACGGATCAGTTTCTAGCCTAAGCATTTGTGGGTCATGTTGACAATTTAGAACCAACCAAAAAGGTAACACAGTTGGTGTAGACATGTATAGTATCACCCAATGTGTTAGTCAAGAAGGCAACAACAAGAAATAATTCTACTATCAATGATATAGATACCTGATATTGTACAAATGATTCTACTATTAACCACTTGCGAAAGAAATATGCGCAAGAAAAGTAAAAGGAAGGAGTGACATTTGTTTTTAAGTCATGTTAATGTTTAGATTTAAATTACAAAATGAATTAAAGCTTTCTTCTAAACATTCAGATTGATAGGAGTTCCGAAAAGTACCGTTAAATTCAAAGAGTTAGTCCATTTATTCAGCTGGTTTAACCAATAGTGCACCATCTGTAGAACTCAAAATAATCAAACGCCACAAATTAAAATAATAGTTATGTAATCATGTTAGCTATGAATTGTCAAATGGAATGCAATAAAACTATTCGTTATGTCCTATCTAATGTATAATATGGAAGAATCGACACATTCAGGTCTCAAGTTCTCATGTTCTCATGAACAAAAAGTGTGTTAATTAGCATTCATGATTCCCAACATAGGATCAAACTACAACCAAGGAAAAGTAAGCAGATAATAACAGACGACCAAAGCCTACAAGCTAAAAAAGAACACTAGAGATGAAGAAACTAAAACAGGTATGCACCTTAATTAGATAGAGCACTCACCAAAAATTAAGATCACATTAATTTCCTGAAATGATCCATGATTTTCAATAATAATATTATAGGTCATTTGCTTAGCCGGAACTGAAAAAAAATTAAAGAATACTTATAAAGAAGTTTACATATTCATTGCGGGATAAAATTAAAATTTAGTCCTTTAATAGTCAAAAGTTACTTGCTTTACACCAAAGTATACTTTCACTTAGAGTGCACTTTAGTTTGCTAATAAAAGTACACTACGTTAGCAGATCCATGGATATTCTTATTTCCGTCAAAATTACCAAAATGATTAGCAGAAACAGCAACCACATTTGACAAGAGTGGGTTGCTCTAATGGTAAGCACTCTCCACTTCCAACCAAGAGGTTGTGAGTTCGAGTCACCCCAAGAGCAAGGTGGGGAGTTCTTGGAGGGAGGAAGCCGAGGGTCTATCGGAAACAGCCTCTCTACCCCAGGGTAGGGGTAAGGTCTGCATACACACTATCCTCCCCAGACTCCACTAGTGAGATTATACTGGATTGTTGTTGTTGTTGTTGTTGTTGTTGTTACTGTGTTCTTGCCAAAGAAAACATACTGTGTTCTGCACTTTCAGCGGAGTCTTAACCAAAATGTGACAATATTAAAATCTATTAAGAGGTATTTGTAAGCTTAACACATAATTCAAATTGTGAAGAGCTTGTAAAGTTTTTTACTTTCAGCTACAATGAAATGCAATAACTGGAAAATATTTTCTCTCTTAGTTGTCAAATTGAGGAAGATATTTTTTCTCTCAAATAGAGTTTGAAAAATGTTGAGATCTCATAGCAGTCCAAGATTGAAAAGGTGAAAAATCTCAGATGAAGTATTTCTATAATAACAGTAGTCAAATTTACCTCTGGTTTGGCTAAAGCCTCTCTTTAAGGGTTCATATAAACATGAAAGGTACTGTACTTTTTTCCTAAAATACATGCTTTATTTCTGAGGGTTGTCACAAAGGAGCAAAATGAAAGACCAAAGCTTTATTTATATGTCAATATGCAGAGGACAAACATACATTCAACCACACATTTTGAATAGTAATTATGGCGCATAGGTTGATATTAGTTTATATGCAAGAGCTAAACATGCTATTCACACCTTTCATCTATGTCTTCCAACCAGCAAAGTCAAGAATAACGATGCCATCCTTGGAGATAGTCACCTAGAGAAAGAGAAATGTTATTCAACATGATAAAATTGAATAGCTAAAGAATCGCACCGGAGACGTGCACCACTAAATATGGGCTATTGCAGCAACAATCGTATCTACTAAAACATTAAAACTCCTACAGAGAACAAAGAAATTCAAAGAACTTCCTCTAACCCCTAACTCTAACGCACATAGAGGTTTCTAGACCATGCATCATTGTTTCCAGGTGTGCTACTTTCAGAAATAAATAGCGCTGAAATCCCAGATTTCCAGTGCCAGACAAGCAAAAACCCCTCTCTATAATCCTCGGCTTAATTTCTCTATTCCAAACGTTAAACCCACGAAACACCAAAGAAAATTTATTTTTTGACCAATTCTTAATAATAAAATCCACTCCAAACACTTTACCGGCAAATCACAAAAATCAATTCTTAATAATAAAATCAAACACATCTGAGAACCAAAAAGGATGAAACCTATTAAGTCAAATAGCCAAACCAACACAACAACAAAGTTGAAGAAGCAGAACAAATTACAGAGAGATGGAAATAGAATGCCATCAAAATTACCTAAAATCAGATTACCCAAAATCAAAATTACCAGATTATTCTTCACCCGCTAACCAAGAAATTAAATCCAAAGACTATAATAGAAATCGAGTAGAAAGTCTGATTCATTGAAGAATTTTTCTCAAACACATATACAACAAAGGCCCTTATTCTCAAGGAAATACACAGAAGTTGGGATGAAGGAAGCGAAAATCCAGGCAAAACATAACTGACATGATTACTGTTTCGAAGACGCAAAAGAAAAGACCAGAAGAGACAAAGAAAAATTGAAGAGGAGTTGAGAAAGTCAAGAAAACCTTAAACTCTTTGGACTTTGATAGCATATGCCAATGAATCCGAAATATTTTGCAACTTCTAACACACAATGCCAACTTTGATGAAGTAATAAACACGAATAAGTAGAATAAATTTAAGGTCTACAGCTTGAAAATGCAACGTAACTTAGACTGAAAATGCAACAAACTTAATATTTTTCTTCTTAAATTCTATGCTCAACATTACATAAATAGGGACGGAGGCAGAGGCGGGCCTATGCTATACCGAGAGGGGTCACCGACATCTGTAAAGTTCGACAAAAATTTCATGTATACATGTATATGTCTTTAGAAAATAGTGATATATTAGTAGTGGGCACCTTATATACAATGCAAATTTTGGTTGAATCCAAAAGTACCCCCGACCTTCAAATCCTAGGTTCGCCTCTGGACGGAGGGAGACCTACGCATTTGGTTTTAAAATAATGTGTTCTTACTACAAATTATTTAACACTTATGTTTACCCTAGAATCGGATAACAATTAAATTTGTACGTGATTTTAAGGATACGTGGATTGATTCAACACAAATAATCAAGAATATTAGATAAACAAGTTAAAGACAAAATAAACGATCAAACTAGTTGTAATGTTATGGCCTAGCCCGAACCTAGGTTGAACAACAATTTTTTCCTCGATTGGACCTTTGGTTCGAGCCTAATGTGAATGAAGAACAACACAATTAAATAAGAACTTTTGCAGTAGCTAGAAAGCATAAGTGAATTTGTATTGCTTTGGTTCGCGTGTTACAATGTGTGTTATAAAAGAAAAACTTCCCTTTTATATAGTAGGAGAGTTTCATCTTTAATACAAGTCTAAAGAAGGTAAAAATATTCCTTTTTCATTAATTATTGATCCGTAACCGACATTGAGCGAGATCTGTGTCATGATATCCGGTTAGGTAAGAATATCACGGCCCTCTATCCGTCATTTGTAATCGTTTACCCTATTTTTTAAGGTTTTAGAACTCGTTCTGGATCCGGGGAGAGTCACTTTATTATGCCCGATGATGAACACATCGTTCACCTTCCATGGGTCTCGATACGAAGGGCTCCCAACCTCGATTTCGGTCTTGTGCGTCCATATGCTTCTTTCATTTTCTTCACCGAAAATCGGGATATACACTACCCCGATTTTACTCGTATACAGATAGTCTCCTCATTTTTCGGAAAGTAGGTTTGCCGAAATGATGAAAAATGATAGATAAACCCCAGTTTCTTCCTTCGTACGTTACAACTGATATGACGGCTAAATCAAAATGTCCCATCAGTCACATCGTTCTGACTTGGGACATGTGTCAGTCACCGGCTCGATGCCTTCGAATGCGAAACGTCGCGCATTGATTGTCTTTACTCCTATAAAAGCTTCAACCTTTTTCACTTCCATTTTTCTATTCTAGACTTTACCCTCGAACTCTCTAATGGCTTTTAACTTCTCTAGTTCTTCATACATTGTTCTTTGAGCCTTCATATCTTCATCTTCAATCCCCATACATCTTCTTTGAACCTTCAACCCAGACCTTCATACCTTTATACAATCTTCAAATTTTCATATTTTTCTCAGGCTTTCATATTTCCCAAATTATAATGGCAAAAACTTCCAAGTCAGTGCCTCAGTAGGCTGCTCCTTCATCTTCCCACCCTGTCACAAATGATAGGTGGTCGTGTCATGCCCCGAACGCGGGGGGCGAGATCGGCACTCGATGCCTCATCTATCCTTGCGTATCAACTTGCGACTAAGGGACTCTGAACATATAAGGTCATCTTTTGGCTATGGGGTCACATATTGCAAGACGATTTGCGAAGCAAAATATAAAACTAAACGAAAACTACTACTGGCTAAACATCAATATAATGCGGAGCCGACAAGACCGTCATAGATACTACATATGACAAACCAACATATTATACATACAAGGCCTACAATCCCAACATATAGCACTAACTGACAGAAAATATCTTCAAGCCTCTACTGATGGATGTACTGAGTTCGGAACAGGGCCCCGACCTACCCATAACCTATATACATATGTATATAGAATGTACACAAAACTCTAGACACGGCAACACCGAATGGGGTGGAGCTTACAGATAAAGCTGAACTCGGGCAACACCTACTGAGGAGGTCTACCTGTCTGTCTGTCTGAACCTGCACGCATGAAATGCAGCGTCCCCACAAAAAGGGACGTCAGTACGAAATAATGTACCGAGTATGCAAGGCAATAATATAACTGAAAGCTGAAACTGAACTGATAACAATAACAACTGAAAGTAACTGGGAGTCAAAGATAATCTTAAGATATGCTCACCTGCTGATACTGACTCAACTCTCTCAATATAGTAAGTAGAATAGATGTCC